TGGTCGTTAGATATGTTTGTCCCATATATAAAGACATTGCATTGGGATAAAACACTTCTTTCGCTATCTTCATAAGCCTACTTATTTAGGGTTATTGTACCCTAAAAACTCCAAAAGTCAAATGGTTGGTTTCAAAGATGCGGCATATTTATCAAATCCACATAAATCCCGATCACAAACTGGATATGTTTTCACGATTGGGGGCACCGCTATATCATGTCCTTCTAAAAAAATAGACACAAGTATCCATTTCCTCAAATCATGATGAATAATCATCGCACTCCATGAGGCAAGTAGATAAAGTGTATGACTAAGATCAATAAGTAAACACATTCAATCAAGCAGTGGAAGCCATGTAAATACAAACTAACTGTCTTCTATGAAATTTTTGCTACATGTTTTGCTTAAACGAAATAAGTCTATATCAAAAGTGATGAAACCAAACACATTTTTCCGAAATTCTTCTCATATCGAGAAGAAAAAGAAATTGAAGTAAAATATATTCGATCATCTGACAATGCTGCACACCTTTTCACAAAGCCACTACCTATACTTCAACTTTTTTAAAATATGTCCAATTGTCCATAAAAATGGAATGCGTCATCAACAAGATTTCTAGCGTTTCGTTCCTAGTCATTTGGCTTTAATTTTGTTTAATGAAATGTTTCACCTTAACTGTGAAGATTATATCCTATGTATTTTGAATAAATAGCAAAAGAATATATCAACACCTCTTCTTTGATTGTGTCTACTCAAGCGAGGTTTGGTCTTTTCTCACATCTAAAGCTCATGTTTCTCCACCTAATTTATTTGAACATGGGTTAGATGGTTAAAAGACCCTTCTCCTGACCCGAATATCGCGTTGATCCTCAAGCTAGCTTTTCAAACTTCCATCTACGTTATATGGAAAGAGAGGAATTGCATATTACACTCTCAAATTGCTAGACCTTCTTCGGCTCTAACCACTGACATCAAAAATGCCATACGCTTTAGGTTAGATCCCTTGTCTAGAGCTCAGCAAATCTCCTCTTCGTCTCCTACGTATCTCGGCATTTGGCTTCATTTGTTTCAGGTTTAGGTGCTGCTGTTGTTTTTGTTTGTTTCGTCCAGTTGTTTTTGGTAAGTTTCTGGGTTTTTGGGCCTTTTTGCTGGAAAATCTTGTTTCTCTTTGATGGGCCTTTGGGCTTCTTTAAGCATTGTATTTTCGTTTGTGGAATGAAATATTTTATAAGTTAAAAAAAAAAAGAAGTCAAGTTTGAAAAAAAATTAAAAAATAAAAATGAAAAAGAAAAATATTGAAGGTGCTTGATGAGAGTTCGATCAAGATATTCAATCCTTGAGGAACCACCGGACTAAGAAATTATATTTGTTAAATATGCAAAACAGATTGTATATATATATTTAACCACGTGGGATTGGAATTTAACATCACTAAATGATTCCGTAACGTCCGTTAACGTTTGTTAAGTTGCGGGTTCAAATCCACTAATAATTAAAAGATAAAATATTTTTATACAACCTATAATTAAATGAAGAATTTTTAATCCAATAAAAAATATTGGGTATTAAACGGCCAAAATAAAAGATAGATGAGGAGTTTTTTCGCTTTTATAAAATGTAAATTTTAGTATTAATTAAAGTAAAAATTGCGGAGAAAAACCGAAAAAACCCTCATCTGTTTTATATTTGGCCGTTTAATACATGTGTTTTTTTTTTTTGGAATTAAAATGCCTCATATATTTTTAATTGGTAAAAAAATACCTTATCGATCTTTTAATTGTTGGTAGATTCCAATCCACGACTTAACATCCGTTATTGGACGTTATAAAATCATTTTAACAGTGTTAGATTTTAACCTTACGTATTTATAATTTTATACTAATACTAGATAAGGCCCGCCTAAATAGGCGGGTATAATATATAAATATAAATTGTTATCGATGATATTTGAATTTTGATTAATATAGTAATCCATTCACTTTTCCTAATATTTAAGGGAGACTCACAAAAATGCCCTTTTTTCAATACCCCTTTTCAAAAATGCCCCCTTTGGCTGTCCATTTTTAAAAATACCCCTTTTTATGTACAAAATGACTAAATTACCCTTCTTTTAATAAAAGATATCACAAATATATAAGGAAATATAACAAAATTAGGTCCACAAAATACAAAAAAAATTTTGGCGGGAAAAGTGATCCCGCAATTTTTCCCGCCAAAACACTTGTAAAAACTTGTAAAACCTTTAAAATACCTTGTAAAATTTTCCCGTAAAATTTTTTTCCGCCAAAAAAATTTTTTTGCGGGAAAAGTGATTCCGCAATTTTTTTGGCGTTAAATTTTTGGCGGGAAAAATTTACAAGGTATTTTAAAGGTTTTTTACAGGGTATTTATAAGGTTTTACAATGTATTTTAAAAGGTTTTACAACGTATTTATAAGGTATTTATAAGATATTATATGATTTTACAAGCTATTTTATAAGGTTTTACAAGTTATAAGGTTTTACAAGTTTTTTATATGGTTTTACAAGTTATAAATACATTATAAAACCTTATAAGTACCTTGTAAAACCTTTTAAAATACATTGTAAAACCTTACAAAACACTTGTAAAACCTTTAAAATACCTTGTAAATTTTTCCCGCCAAAAAAATTTCGCCAAAAAAATTGCGGAATCACTTTTTCCGCAAAAAAAAATTTTGGCGGGAAAAATTTTTACGGGAAAATTTTACAAGGTATTTTAAAGGTTTTTACAAGTGTTTTAGCGGGAAAATTGCGGGATCACATTTCCCGCCAAAAAATATTTTGTATTTTGTGGACCTAATTTTGTTTCAAATAAGGGTAAAATGGTCATTAAAAATTAAAAGAGGGCAAACTTAAAAATGGACTCTCAAAGAGGGCATTTTTGAAAAGGGGTATTGAAAAAGGGGCATTTTTAACAATTTCTCAATATTTAATAATTTAGTATTTTTTGTTTTTAAAAAAATTAAATCTTACACATTCCATTTTTCTATACATTTTAACTATTTATTTTATCGTAATAAACTGAATTTTAATTCTACACACTCTTTCGTATTGATGATATTAAAATCCTAAATAGTAACCGACACACTTTTTATATATTTAATTTAGTATTTTTTTAAAACGAAATTTCAATCTTACACATTCCATTTTGTAATATAATTTAACTATTTATAACATCATAATAAACTTGCTTTTAAGTCTTCATAGTTCATCTTAATGGATAAACTGCTAATAATAATTTTATATCAAAATCGTATATATATCATATCAAATCTATATCTTAGTTAATATTAAAAAAAATTTAATATAACTAACATATAACAAAACATTTAATAAAAAAATAGAAATCCACAAAAGTTATGGAAAACAAACATTGTTTAAAATATAGTTTTCTATATAACGTAATCTCATAAGTTAGTTTTACCTCATGGCAAACTAATTTTAAATGAGTCAAAATTAATAAATAAATCATTAAAAATATATATTAACATTCTCATTAAGTAATCAAAAATTCAATCATATAATCCATTTTCCCAAATATTTTTAGTTTATAATTATGACTACATGCACTAAAATTCTTAAAATAAAATTAAGTATAACCACACTAATTTTCTTATCAAATATTCAAATATTCGTTCGTTTTTATAAGCTCATTACTTTTTTTAAAAAATTTGTGTTTTCATTTGACGAATAAAAACACTATATTACGATGATAAATACAATTTTATCCAATTAAATTAATGTTAAATAACTTATATTGTTATTTAAAACTTCAACCGTTGTTGTTTATTTGTTAGTATCCATACTAAATGATTTTATAGAAAACAATTAACACATGCCAAATCTAATTGACCAATAACACATGTGAAGAGAAATTGTTAGTTTTCCTTTTTGGCTAAGAAAAATAAAGTTAACAAATTATAAAAAATTAGATATATAAATTAGTATATGTAAGTATTCTTTTTTTTTTAGTTTCTTTTTTCGTTAATGAAGAAAGTTAAATATTTTTTGACCACATGTCAACATCTGATCGATAGACTTGACACGTGTCACGATCATGCGAGTTATTAACTTTGAAAACCATACTTTATATAATAAGATATACTATCCGTTCAACAAGGAGAATCTATTGCGAATAATAGCTTTGTCTATAATTCTTATAATCAAACTAAAGTTTTTCTTTTTTTTTTCGTTTTATGAAATGAAAATTCCAGTATTAATTAAAATAAAAAATTACTAATAAGTAATTGATTCATTTTTTAAAAGAGAAGAAATACATACTAATTACTAAGTGGTGAATTTTTTGTTTGATTTGGTAAGTGAGAGACAATAACTTTATATATCGTCATATACATTATATATTCTCTATATATAAACACATTTGATTATAAAGATTATTTTCTTCTAGTTGTTTATTTTTTCTTTGAAAACATTAATTAAAATAAACAGTAGCGTTTGGTACCTGGTGAATTTTAAGATTCCATTCTTAAAGTTAATGCAATGCATTGCTAGTCTAGGAAAAACATTAGCAGTAGATAAGTGATACTCAACATGGAAATAAACAAGAGGTAGAAATGAACTCTTCTTTCTTCTTTAACTTTACTCTTCAGTTGTTTTTGAGTTCTCTTCACTTGTTTTTGAGTTCTCTTCACTTGTTTTTGGGTTCTCTTCAGTGATACTTCAGCAATTTTGTACGTTTTAAGGTATTTTCTTTCTCTCTTTTTTTTTCAGTGATAATTTAGCAAACACTCTTGTTGTTGTTTGGAACGTATACGAGAATGAATTTTGTTAAATTCGTGTTTTAGAACAACATGGATCTTACTGTTAAGTTTGCTGTTGCAAAATCAAGTTGGTTTCTTTTTACTGTGCAAGAAAGATTACCCAAATTTATATGATCTTTCAGCAGTATCTTTGTTTCTCTGTCAGTTTTAAAATGTTAGGTCCACTCGAATTCTCTTGTAATATTTAATATCGCCTTTCGTTTTCAGGATTTCTAGTGTTGTCTGTCTCCTGTTTGGATTATTATCATTGTGTCAATTTGGTTTAGCAAATATGTCGTGGATTCCTTTGACATATCACTGTATATGTTACAGGTACTCAGAAAAGTCTTAAAAGATGGCGAGGCTGTCTTGGCAAGCCGTGGCGGTTGTGGGGGTGCTGTTGGTAGTAGTCCTGTCGTTTGCAGATGGGTACCCAGAAGCAGATTTTGTTGTGAAGCTGCCAGGGCAACCAACGGTAACGTTCAGACAGTACGCTGGGTATGTTGATATCGACAAGGTTGTTGGGCGGAGTCTTTTTTACTACTTTGTGGAGGCTGAGAAACGTCCCGACACAAAACCGTTAACATTGTGGCTCAATGGAGGTTCGTTTTATGTTGCTATATTAATACATGAAGCGACTTCCCTATCTAATTGGCATTTGAGTATCAGAACTGTGTAAAATGAATAAATTGAGGTTTGTATTGCAGGTCCAGGTTGTTCTTCTGTTGGTGGAGGAGCTTTCACTGAGCTAGGTCCATTTTACCCCACAGGCGATGGTCGTGGCCTCCGCATTAACTCCATGTCTTGGAACAAAGGTTTGTTTTTGACAATTTTAGGCAAAGAGCACAGAACTCTGTGATTTTATAGCTGATGTTATTGTCTCTTGTTGTAAAATGTGTAGCCTCGAACCTGCTATTTGTGGATTCGCCGGCTGGCGTAGGATGGTCTTACTCCAACCAAAGCTCTGATTACAACACCGGGGACGAGTCTGCTGGTAAATTTTAACTCCCAAACTTCAGAGGATTTCACTCTCACTATATTAGAAGATAGTTGTTTCTTGACTTGTTTTGTATATGAGCAGCCAACGATATGCTTGTGTTCTTGTTGAGATGGTTCGATAAGTTCCCGGAGTTGAAGTCTCGCGACCTCTTTCTCACTGGCGAAAGCTATGCTGGTGTTTCTTCGATATCGAGCAAATCTATTAAATGTTTACCTTGAAAACATTGCTGTTTCTCATATACATTTTCTGGCAGGACATTACGTACCTCAACTCGCTGATGCGATTCTCAACTACAATTCACGCTCGAGCGGGTTCAAATTCAACATCAAAGGCATTGCGGTAAGCAAAAGAACCTTATTCTTGACGTTCCATCAACTCTTTTGGTTCTCTTCTGAATCGTTTCTTCGTTCTTTTTTCTTACTGGTCAGATTGGGAATCCACTTCTTAAGCTTGACAGGGACATTCCAGCTGTATACGAGTTCTTCTGGTCGCATGGCATGATCTCTGATACAGTGGGACGCACAATCAGGAGTCAATGTGACTTCTCACATTACACATATGCGTTCCCACATAACGTAAGCGATGCTTGCAACGACGCTACCACTGAAGCCGGAATCATCATTACCGAATATGTCAACAACTTTGATGTTCTCCTTGACATTTGCTACCCGTCAATTGTCCTGAAAGAACTAAGGCTTAAGCAAATGGTTAGCCGTTTTCCATCTTATGTTCCACCAACAAAACTTTTGTTTGAATTTATCTTTAAACTTTTGAAGATGGTTTCAGGCCACAAAGATGAGCATGGGAGTGGATGTCTGTTTGACCTACGAAAGACAGTTCTTTTTCAATCTCCCAGAGGTACAGATGGCGCTTCACGCAAACCGCACTCATCTGCCATATTCATGGTCTCTGTGCAGCAAGTAAGTTCTTTTCCTCTCTTTCAGTTTCTGAAAGAGTTGAACTCTATACTCTGATTGGTTTCACTTCGTGTCACAGCCTGTTAAACTACTCTGGCATCGATGTAAACACCAACATGCTTCCGACTCTGAAGAGAATTATACAGAACAAAATTCCTGTTTGGATCTTCAGGTAATACTTCTATTAAAAACCTCCTACTGCTCCTGTATTTGTACCTAACACTCAGCTTGTTGACAATTGCAGTGGAGATCAAGATTCTGTAGTTCCATTTCTTGGAACAAGAACTGTCGTACAAGAACTTGCCGACGATCTCAATTTCACGACGACAGTTCCATATGGAGTGTGGTTCCATAAAAGACAGGTAGTTTGCCTACACACCATTAAACAATCAGCACAATTCTCAAACTGATTGTGAACTAAATTATGGATGTTTGGGATTTTGACTAGGTTGGAGGCTGGGCCATCGAGTATGGAAACCTACTCACGTTTGCAACAGTGAGAGGAGCGGCTCATGCGGTGGCGTACAAGCAGCCCTCTCGCGCTCTGCATCTGTTCAGCACCTTTGTGCGTGGACAGAGATTGCCTAACAAGACCGATATAGGTTTTCATGATTGAGGAAGAGAAGCAACCTCATTATGAGAGTATATATCCTTAGATGAGTAGAGATAAGAAAATATAAGGGTTTATGTTGTGCCCTGCTTGTGTCTAGGTGATGAGACATATTTTCAGACGATTATTTGTAATAAAACACTTCTCTTGATTATGATGATGGTTTAATGATCTAAACGATACATAATTTTGCTCAGAATCGTTGACATAAAACAAAAAAGGTACTGTCTTAAGATCCTTTGTGGGTTTGGCCTACTTGTATCATAACCAAACCAAATATCCTTGTCCTAGACACCGACCTGAACAACATTCTTGTTCCATCTTAACTTATGGACGGACCATAGGTGCAATGTTGAGCATCTTGAACCTTTGGGCAGTTTGTTTTTGCAGCTGAGAGCCCGGACTATCACACTGACCAATTCGAATGCATATAGGCCTCAGGCCCTCAGATTTAGGAATCTCGGAATCATTTGACTTTACGATGACAAATAACACATGAATGATGCAAAAAATTTTAACTGTTAAATATCATAAGACTGTCAAATGATACTTAACAACACTTGAGGGATTCTCAACACTTTCAAAAGTTCAGAGATTCTCTCCAATCCAAGGCTCTTCTTCTTGTTTGTAATCCGTAATTGTACCGGACTTGTTCACCTCGGTTTGTCGATGTTGCAAGGCTCCTTTGATCTTTGTAACAATTGTTTCTAAGTAACTAGATTAGGAACCATGTGATACACCGATAAATCGAAAAATCTTTTCAAAAAGTTTAGTATGTTTTCATGCAAATATTATTTTGAATTTCAACTGAACTAACTATGAATCATATTATATGTTTTTATTTGAACCGCAAAATATATATTTTTCATTCACTTATAATATAATTATTTTTGTGTAACAATAAAATTTATATTAGTTGGTATTACAAGGTTTCAGAATCAAAATTTCAAAAATAAAATATAATTAAAAAGCTGAAATCCATTTTGGAGGATAATGTAATAACAAAAACATACTGCTACTAATATCACACACAACTTATTTTAACATCAATATCCATGAAATTTGGAATAACATAGATTCTGAAAAATAAAATTATATTTTAATTAATATGTGAGAAAGTTGAACATGTTATAATATAAACACTATATAATTAGTTTAATGTACTTTTATCTTAACTAGGAGCGAATCCGGGGTACGCTCGGTATATTTGACATTTGATATTTTAAAATTTGTTAATTAAATAATTTGTTTTAATTTCTTTAGAGTATATTGTGAAAAATTTCATGTGATATTGTATTTAACATTTTAGTATAGAAAACAAATATGATACTAATTTTATTGTTTACTTATATACATTTATTTATCATTTTGTTTTCGTTTTAATTTATTAAAATTTTAATTCATCCTTATTTTTTATTATTACTATAGAATAATATTCTCATCTATATCTCTCTTATAATTTATTTTTTATTTCTATTCTCTTAATTTTTATTTATATTAGTTTGTATTCTTGTATTTCCGGCTATGTTGAGAAAGTGAATGTTAGGATTCGTAACAATGAGTGATACTCTTTTGCATCATAATTCATGAAAGTAATGTCGAAATTATATATCTATAATATATGTATATATATATACATATATATATATATATATATTTATTTTAATCTTTAAATCTCCGAAGAATTACAATAGTCTATTAATTTTGATTGTTCGTTTAGCAAATAAAGCATATGATATCGATTTTTCTTTTAGTATCACTGCCACAACTTGGTTGCTTGTTTTTTTATAGTTATAATCTTGGGTTGTTCAAGCTAGAGCCTACATGTCTTATTTCTCCATGTGATTTTTGTAATATCATATTGTTTCCTTCACCATTTCTTTTTTCTTTGTAATTATCTTGTGTCTTATAGGTTTCTAGACTACGGAGTAACGGAGAGTTGTATACTCTCAACAAAATTAATGTGAACTATCCTATAGTTTAATTACAATTTTATATTAATCTTTTTATGTAAAGAAATATTAGCTTTTCGTAATTATCTTATGTCTTCTGGTTTTCTTAAATCATATGATTAACATATTAGTTTATTTAGTAACACTAAGCACATTTGATAATTTCGTGGAATACTTAAGCAAAAGACTATTGAATAAGCATATACTGTACTAATCAAAGGGAACAAAATCAATACATTTACAGTAAAACCTCTATAAGTTAATACTCGGTAAATTAATAACCTTTATAAATTAATAAATTCTTCCGGTCCCGAGTTGGGACTAGTGTAAAAAATGACACAAATCGATAAATTAATAAGATAATATTTATTATTTGTTATTGGTTCTAAAAAGATAATGATTATAAAGAAACTAGATAATAACCCGCACTATGTGCAGGACAAAACGATTATTAAATACATTTTAATGTATTAATTATATTGATGGTGTTCGAATTTTATATTATTAGATAAACAGTAGTGTATTAATAATTATCAAGATTAATAAAAATTTTCATTTATGTATTAATGTTTTGTGTTTATCATGATTCATGATATATATCTTGTTATATTAATAGATTCAGAAAATATTAGGTACTCCATTTTGTATAGATTTGTATCTCTTAATTACATATTTTAATTGTATTTTAATTAATTGAGTAAAATAAAAAGCATAAATTAATTAGAAAAAATAAACATATATAAGTAAAACTAAATGCAAAATCTGTAAATATCCTAATAAATATTGGGTCTTTAATTAAAGGGTACGTGGTATGTTGGGACACTTTCTGAGATAGTATGAGCATATGAGGCACATATGAGGGAGTAGGTACTTTTTTGGAGTTTTTTCACTGTTCTACAAAAATCAATACCAATTTGCCCTTAAGACACGTGGACAGTTAACCCAACTGTGGTTAACTTGTTAAATCTCAGCCGTTGCATGTGTAGGAGCTAAAAAAAATCTAACGGTTCGTTGGTGAACTAGTTACAAACTGTTAACCAATTAGCAAGCAAATAAATTTGTAAAAAAATATGGACCGTCCAAATAAACTTAAAATTAAGATCTAACGGTTGTGGATGGACATGGTTTTCGGAGTGGAATTTGGTTTTAAAGAGAGAGAAATGAAGGTAGTGGATTATAATAAAAGAGGATTATAAGTACTAAATCAGAGATAAACATATTTTTTTATTGTATAATAAATTATAATTACTTTTTCTTTACATTTGAAGATCCATTTTACTATAGTTTATAAATATAATCATATAACACAAAAATATTTTTAAAGAATAAAATAGAAACTATCCACATAATCTTGAACACATGACAGTCTCTTATAATTTTACATCAAAATTGACAACACAATAATTTAGGATTACCGCCCATACACGCACATCCACCAAACTCTAAACACGTGGTCATTTCAATTCAGGTCTAATTTATTTTTTCACTCAAATGAGAAGTATGTAGCCATAAACCCTAGAATCAGTGTAGACAATCATGGTTCTTTACCCATAATACCCTAAACCTAAACCATATAAACTATACCCTAAACAACAAACCCTAAACTTTAGATACTAAACCCTAAACCCTAGACATTAAACCCAAACACCTAAACCTAAACCCTAAACCCTAAACTCAAAACCCTTAACTTTAAAACCTAAACCATAGAGACTTAACCCTTAACCCTTAACCTTATACCTATATCCTATTCCCTAACCTCTTAACCTAAACCCTAAACCCATGATACTAAACCCTAAACCCTAGACATTAAACCCTAGCCCCTGAACTTAAACCCTAAACCCTAAACACAAAACCTTAAACCCTAAACCATAGAGACTTAACCCTTAACCATATACCTATACCCTATACCCTATACCCTAAACCCTAAATTCTAAACCCTAGCCCCTGAACTTTTTGTATTTCTTCCATTTTTTCATCATTTGCTCATGTGTTTTAATGAAAATCGCACAAAACTACCTTTAAGTTACAAATTTATAATAAGAATATATGTTAAAATATTAAAGCAAGACTCTTGATAAACAAAATTTTAGCTTGACAATTTAGAGCTACCGAGAATCATCTCCAATAAGAAAAATTAGGTCAAAAGCTAAAATCCTAATCTGAGCAGGTGAATGTGGATTACAAAGAAAATTACATAATGAAATGTGAAAATGTAATACCGACGGGAGAACACGAATCCGCCGCGATTTCGTCACAGATGCACCGAGAAGCGGATCTCCACAACCCAACCCTGGCAGAGAAGAAATAGGCTCACCACTGCTTCACCAAACGAGCCCAAAAACCAGCTTTTAAAATCTGAGAAGAGAAAGAAAAAGAAAAACCTACATCTATTTTTTGGTGTTTTTGATGAGAGAGAAGAGAGAAAAAGTATGGAACGATTGTCTTTTTCCCAAGAAGATATTGCAAGTGTTTTGTATTTAATTTTGTAAAGTGGAGAGAAAGAAAAATGAATGAAGAGAGAGAAAGAATAAAGGTTGCAAACCATAGTTAGTTTGGATTCGTTAGGTTGGGTTGAGGGTGTAGTGGTAAAAAAAACTTAAAAAAGTGCTTACTACCCTTAAAGTGCCCCATAGAATAATTATTCCCTTAGAAGTGCCCCATAGAATAATATTCCCTTAATTAAATGGATTGAAAAGCTCTGTAAAAACGACACCTCAGCATGACATTTTCGTTAATCACACATGAGGATAATGTTATTCTATACAAATGCTTCTCAATTAATATATAAGGATTTTTTTTCAGATATAATATTTTCTTATAAATTATAAAATTCACCTAAACTCTCTATCAATTAATAATTATTAATTTATCGATAAATTAATACCTCTATAAATTAATAAAATTTCACGGTCCCGACACTATAGTTAAATCCTTAAAACAGATGAATCATTTCAGCTCAAAACTATTAGAATCTTCATAATATAAATTTCATGTGATATTGTATTTAACATTTTAGTATAGAAAACAAATATGATACTAATTTTATTGTTTACTTATATACATTTATTTATCATTTTGTTTTCGTTGTAATTTATTAAAAATTTAATTCATCCTTATTTTTTATTATTACTATAGAATAGTTTTCGCATCTATATCTCTCTTATAATTTATTTTTTATTTCTATTCTCTTAATTTTTATT